TAAATTATCATTTCATTATTATTGTACCACAGAATCAAACTAGTTTATTATACTCCGCGCAACAAGTTGCGTGAGGTAACATGTTTTGGACCCATCAGTCAGCCCTTTTTTTTTTGGGGGGGGGGGGGGCAGCGCAACTTCTTATAAACTAATGCACAGAGTTTTGTTGAACTATGCTGATATTCATAGGAGTCAATGTGTCTGTATTTGTACACCACCAGGAAATTCCGAAATCTTTATTTTTTCGGGAATTTCCGCACTTTTACATTTAGATTTTGGCCATATCTTGAATATAAAGATGAGCAGTTTGTCAGCACAATTCCTCATAAACCGGTGCATATAATTTCGTCAAACTTAGCAGATAATTAGGACACAACGTGTATAGATGTGCATATTACAAGGAAATTACGATTCCTTTATTTTTTCTGTGAATTTCAGCACTTCGACTCTTGTGGGAGCGTGGGGTATGTGATTTTACTCACTTTTTCTTTCATTGTGCATAAAATTATAAATAACTTTAAATCAAATTATATTTTGTCTAATAAAGCCAATACACAGTATTTATTTGATTATATTTGATCATAAAGAAATCCCATCTGTTTCAGACGTTTTTCTTAAAATGTTTTTATGAGAGGATATGCATGTTCTATCCCCCCCCCCCCCTTCACAGGAAAATATCTTCATATCTTCAAAAGTTGAATGATTCGTAATGATGCATGCTTTATTATAAATTTGATGAAGTTAAACCATGTTTTAAAAATTTTATTTACACCATTTACAGACAAGAGTAATGTTTATTCTTGAAAAAAAAATTATTTGCATTTTCTTCAGTCAACCCCACGGCGCTTTCAACCTTTGATATTTTCCCTGAACAAATAAAATGATCGGCATGGACCACGTGTGTCCAAGCAGTTTTTTTTACTGTTGAGTTAGCAATGGATAACATGATTTCTGAGATGCATTTTTCAATAAAAGTAAAATAGGATAATTCTTTCGACATGTGCACATCCCTGTAACGATAGCAGTATATATTCAGGTAAATATTTCTATCACTGCGTTTGACGCGTTTTCTCGACTGACCTGCATGGAATTTTTGCTCTACTTGAATGTTTTCCATGTAAGTGTATTTTCTATATTGCAGCAAATGCATTCAAAAATAATTTTATTCTCGGTATAGTTCTAGTTTTTGTTGAATTTTTACTTTTCAACCATGTATTGCATGGTCAGTTTATGGACTCCTCTTAAAACTATGATATCGGAGATGTGCACATGTCGACAGCCGGGATAGAAAATCACTCAAGTGAAACAGTTCTAAAAGGCTATATATAGCAGGTACAAGTGGCCAAAAATGTTCGATTAAATATGGCGGAATCGAAGAAATATGGCGGACAAAGGCGTACAGGAATGAAGTAAGTCGTACAAAGATGAAAAATGATGCCTTTTTAAGAGTTCATGTCAGCTTTAAGGAAAACAGAATCGTTCTGCTCCAGTAAACACGGTAGGGTTTTGAGAAGTGAGTACATGTTTTATGAATGAACGTTCGCGTGCCACAAGTCGTTCTGGAACTAGAATCAAAGTCTCCGTATTATTCCGGCCATTGACTACGAGTGATGCATTGCGATGTTTACAAAGTATAATGGTCTTGGTTATAGTTAATTGAGAGATTTATGGAGACATTAAAATTTACCCGAGATTATAGGATTTAATAAAACCATCATTTTAAAACTATACACTATCATGAAGTAAACAGATGTCCTTAGTTTATAAATACAAACACGTCATACCAATGATTAATTTTTATTCTTTTCAAATTCGTTGAGAGCTTTTGATGATTAAAAAAAAGAGACGAATGGGGCATATTTCCCAAAGTTTTATTAATACTCAAACATATTTTATCCCTTTTGAATTAAATTTAACAAGCTGAATTAATAAATACATGCTTCTAATAAACTTAGATATATATTTAGTTTTGCCTAATTTTCAGCAGTGGTTTAATTAATAAGAGGTTTCTTTAGAGATATATTCTACTAACTTTTCTCGAATAATAACTAGAATTATTGTTTTGAATAACGTATAGACTTCGGTTTTTTTTAATTACTCTGATCTTCCGTTCCCATGATAAATATTTTATACAACGGCAGTACATTTGCTGGTAGGTAATGGGGTAATATTCATATGGTTTAATTATAACATTACTAGTATATCATGCCAGTGTCATATGACTATCTCCCACGCTCGTATTTTACCAGAATCTCAACAGGAGAAAATTCTCCCATGAATAAAATTTCTACTTGATCATAGACCTTGCTTATTATTGCCATTCTTTATAATGAAACTGAATTTTTCTTTCTTCAAATTCTTTCTATTTAGATGCCATACCAAAAAATGTATTTCTTTTTTTTTTTCAATTTTGAATATGTGAGTTTTCTTAAATACAGATTTGAGAAAATAAATAAATTGATAGGTAACACCGATGTTTTTATCAAGCATAAGTTTATTTAAAAAAAAAAAACAAAACAAAAACAAAAAACACAACAAAAAACCCCAATGATATTAAGTTGTTAAATATCGAAAGAAAACAGGACAGATGCATTCTTTATAGTAAACTGTTTACATGTAAAACGCATTTTCTGCACTGCGTTGAATTTCGCTAAAATACCGGTAGTAGTGTTGTTATACCCTCGCAATGGAATTGGAGCGGATATTGTAACACGCTTCTGCGTCAGTTTGTTCTTGCGCGAAACGGAAATGACGTAATTTGGACAGGTGATTTGGATCGGGATCGATGTTGCATGCGCTCTTGATCTTATCGAGGGAATGTTCTCCTTTTTGGTGCCCTTGTATTTGTTTGCCTACACATGTACCTATTCAATTAAGTTTGCATTAAGGGAAATTAACACAAACAAAAAATTGATGCATGGATTGATATATATTTTTGACTAATTTTGATTTGAAATGACAAAAATAATAGATCCCTGAAATATAAAGAAATCGTAGGTTTTCCTCGGTGCTTAGATATGAGATTGGCCTTGCTTCCTATATAATTCCATACAAAATTTTGCACATATTTTTAACCTTATGACAAAATCTTATAAAATTTTCCCACTGTACATGGTAAACATTATTCAAGTTACCAATTTAAATGTAAATCATAACGTATGAGAAATATTGCTGATTTCTGAAAAAAGGTTTGTTTGTGTTTGTGTTAATTACTTGCACTGCAGACAAAAAAAAATTATGGTCTTTTTTTTATCTTTAAAATTGTATTCGTCTTTTCACCCTTCGATATCAATTAATTTTCAACACTTGAATTTAAATCAATTAAGTCTTCGATCATGTAAATTAATTTGATAAAAGCGCCAATATTTAACATAATATCCAACTTTAAGAAACTAGATTTAATTCAACACGTGCGCTAGCATATAAAGTTGATATAATTTTATCAAAGTAGTTCATGACTTTGGAGTATGATAATCGAATACAGTTGTAAAGGAATCCTTGCAGTCTTCTGAACAAACTTTGAAACTAAATATGTCGTTGGCTGAGTGTCGTGACAACGAGTCTACGAATCTTCCTGAAATAACAGGACATTTATTGCCCAGCTTTATAAACCGGCTGTGATCAGACATGTTATTTTCTTAGACGATCTATGATACGGAGGGGTTTTATTTTATATAGATATTTGCTAAACTGAGATGATAATTGCTTATATGCAACAAGAATGCACGAAGATTGACCTACACTAAACAAAAGGAAATATCTTACCCCAGGCTCCCATAAATATTAGAAATGTTATCGAACTTTGCGACCTTTCATCAACTGTTGAACAGTTTTGGCATATGAAGTATCAACACTTCGCATTTAAGCGAAGAACAAGAGATAGGGGCCTGTTTATGGCTTCCTTTATGAATTCTGTTATATAAATACAATTTACTTGTGTTTCAATATTCAGTTTCTTTTTGTGAACATCAGTGTTTAGTAGCATTTGGGAGCCTGTATAAATTAAAATCCCACCCATCTTGTTCTCTTGTAGCACTTTGTAAATATGGAGATTTTACAAAAGTTTTAAGGTTAAATCTGGTTTCCCATTTAAATTTAATGCAAACCTCTTAACCGAATAACAAAAACATAATTGCTGATCTTCAACATTTTTCCTGATCTAAATTTAGTGTTAATCAAGAGATTTCCTTTTTCAATTTGAAAATTTAAACTACTTAACCGAACAACCATTTAACGTCCTGTTGATGTTTCTTAATTGGGACAATCCCAAAATAGAGACAAGCTTATTGATGGTTATAAAGGGTGCATACCGGTATCTGCATGTATACTCCAAAGAAATATTTTTAAAGATTGTTAAATAAGGGTGAACGAATTTTCAGTAAATTGTGATTTTTTTTAATAGATATCAAAGTTTTACTTATGCTTTAATTCATTTAAAAACACCTTTCTGAGCACAATACAATTTTTATGAGGTACGTATGTTCGAGAGTACGTAATTTTAAAATAAGAATAGATATGTTTTCAAAAGTTATATCTAATACATGTAATTCGTAAATTAAATTTAAAGAAAATTGATATCGCTTAAAATCAGCATCTAGACATGCATGACCTACATTATTCCTATTATACATTGTTACCATTCTACCAATGATTATATTTCTCTTCCACATCCAGCCTACAAAATACTTTCATGTATTACAATGATAGGGACTGACACCTTGTGGAATAATCTGTGTTATTGTATTAAACTTTGACACCCTGCAAAAGCGATTACTTTTTTATAAATACATCCGAGTATCACATAATATAGCCTAGAGAAATATATCACTATTTCAATTAAATTTTCATGGATAAAGCCTGATTATTCGTACACATCAAATGACTGGTTATCTCCTGAAGGAGAACTTATTGACAAATTTAAAGTTAGCAATGCGAGTGTCATATTGATGTGAAAATCATTCGCAGGTGAATTTTTCTGTATACCCGGCGACTTTTTGCGCGCCTGAGTCGCTCAGTTCAGCAGGTGGACACACCTCCATCGGTACTGTCCAGCCAGGGGCGGCATAACGCGGAACACTCATTGAAGACACTTATCAGACGCAGAGTAAAGAAGACTTCTTGTCTTCTGCTATAACGTAAACAACCAACAGCTTCTTAGCGTGCCGAAAAATTGTGCAGCGTTTATTATTAATGTCAAAGCCCGAGAGAACATATAGCAAATATTTTTGTATTGAATTCCGGATGAAGTTAATTTGGGAATGTTTGTGATATATCATAATTATTAGTATGGAACCAAGTCAAGCTATCATCATGAAGAGTGAGAAAAAAAATTATTTCCATCTGGCATGTTCTTCGGTGTGAATGGGCTTTTTATAACAACTGTAGAAGTTTGAACTGACGACGTCACATGGTCGGCGTGCGACGCACGTGCTGGCACGGCGCACTTTATGAAAATTTAGACCTGCAGGATAGTTATATTGGTTACTCGCTCAGAGAAAACTCCCTCTATGCTTGTTTCTATATTAAAGTAATTCAGGTTTTGAATATTAATCAGGATGTGTACGACTTTGACTGAAAATTCCATTTCTTAGACTTCTTTGAACATATTTGTTGATATAGCGTGAAAATGACCAGGATCCTCTCTGTCTCTATAGTTTTTATGATTGTTGTTTTCACGTCGGAATTGTCAATGGTGAACGGGAAAAAGGTATGTTTTAATTTTATTTTATATAAATAACTACATGTTATAGCTGTTTTCTTCAATTTTTCACAACAGAGTGAACACAATGACCAGGATAGTAAAAAATGAACTAAGCAATAAATTGCAATGCTGCTTTCAATTCTAAACGTAGTAAATTAAATTAGGATGAAAAGTAACACGCTTGCAGTACCATTCGAAGCCTTATTTCCGCTTGCAATGACCCTTGTTAAATAATGCATGCTGAAAGCAGCGTTTATCTTTTTTCTAATTCGAGTAATTCTTTTCTATTTTTATTATTTTGTCTACACAATCTCTGTTTTCCCTTCGTACAAGGATGGGCATCAGGATGAGTTAAATAAGTAATGGCTTTGGGGAAATCTTAACATGACACAAGTTTGGCATAATTTTGTTCTCTTTTCTCTGCGCTAAGTATTCAAAAAACAAAAGCAGAATGGATGTCTCTGTTTATCCGACACAATTCAAAGAGACATAACTAGAGCAGGCAAAGTAAGTGCAACAAGAAATAAATTTCAGAGTTAAAAAGTGGAATCCTCGGTCTTCATTGATACTTTGGTGAACAAACAGACAGCATATTAATATAAACAAGCATGTGTACGTCTGATATAAACGTTGTACAGGCCCCTGAGTGTTTACCAAGCCACCTCAGGTGTTCTCCAGACGAGGAAATTCGTTTAGGAAATACGGCTGTTTCAAGAAGTCGTTTCTGGAATACAGTTGAAGGTCGACTCTGTAATGATTACCTTCAAAAAAGTGTTTACTTTTAGCATTTGTTTCATGCAGTTGGTGGCATTTCTACAGAAAATCGGTCATATATAAATTTTTAACAGAAAATCTAGGAGAAAGCATTTGTATAAGATTGATACAATAGATATCGGGACACCTGTTTTTGCGGCGCGGCTTTTCTCACAAAGCTATGGATGAGAAATCTTTGACATCAGAATGGGATAAGAGATCTACCCTTGGGGCAACATATTTTAACGGGTAACGCCACGTTCATTATTACAGTAACCCAATCTAACGGATAAAAGCAAGCATTTAGCATTACCCTAAATCGCCAATATATTAAATACCCCAACAGAAAGGCAGCATCTTTTAGTATCAGTTTATTCTTATGTTCCGCCAGTGTATATAGGACCCTTCAATCTACAGATTTGTGTGATTGCCCTGCCCTAAACGAACCCGAGGTGATATCGTCAAATAATCTAATTTTTACCCTGAGAGTGTTTAAGTCCGTGCGATTCATACATTCATACCCTTAAGTTAAAGGTACAAGGAAAGAAAATGAAGGTAATTATTTTCTGTTAAGGTGGAAAGTCACTCTAAATCCCTCTTTACAAATCTTTGTTAGAGAGCTTCTATGTGTCACCAAAGTATGCTACATTTGACTTTGAGCATTCTTTCACAAACCTTAGACTTAAGGGGGTTGATTTTACTATTTGGCCCCAATAAATCTGGGAACTTGTTTGTATTATTTCTAATTTAGACAACACACTTAGGAAAGTTTTTGAAAAGTGTGAGGTTAAAGCAAATCACGTTTTATTCGCGCCGGTATCCATTTTATTGTCATCGACTAATTGTCTCATAATTTTTTTTAATTACTTTCCTTGAATCAAAATTAAATGTAAGGTGTGAAAATTACAATAAATTATATTATGAATAAAAACATCTATACAATAAATTAAAATATTAAAACCTTTTCTTTTCCATAAAAGTGTTCATCATGTGTTGCGCGTTATTTATGCAAATCTGTATACACCCGATTTGAAAAATAATGAAAGAGATATACATATATACCGAACTTTGAATTAATATTATGAATTTAAATCAGGCAATATTAATATCAAAACATTAGTGCGCTTAAGTTAAATTTAAGATGGTTGTAACGATGTTTATGACAATGATCCAGCAAAAGAATATATTTGAATTTTTCTTTACAGAAAAAGAGTAGAAAATTAGAATCAAGAAATTCGACACACGGCCTTTCCTCAAAAACAGGAATACTTTCAAAAGACCATGAAAATAGGATTCTGTGTGAGTACTACACGAAGTGGTCAGATTGGACGCGTTGCAACCGGAAGTGTGAGCAGACGCGAGTAAGACGATGCAACCAGCCAGAAAACTGCGGGACTAGCGTTCTCAAGGAAAAGCGAAATTGCAAAAGACGGAAAGGAAGATGCTCCACATTATCTTATAAAGTGATAGGATTCCGCCGTGGAAACAGGTTAATAGAGGAACTTTTATACGATTTACTGTATGATGGATGGTCGCAATGGGGGCATTGCACTCGCTCCTGTCGCAAAAGGAGATTTCGCAAGTGTAAAGAACACAAAATTTGTGGTAACAGTTACATACAGGAGGAGCGGAAGTGTCGTTTAGCGGGGACAGTCTGTGGTAAAAAATACACATTTAACACTTTTGAACCAGACACACACTCGCCTTCAGTCAGTGAACTATCACCTCGGGAGTCGGGTAAGAGATCAATTGCATGTCGGGAATTTTAATGATATCAAATTAACTGCGGTCTTATCACTAACCTAAATCAATTTGGTGGCTATTAAATGGACGCTCTTTATCTTTTTGCACTTTTTTCAGAATTTAGTTAATTTTCATAGAGTCCTCTTTACGCTTATTTCACAATTTCCGATAATCATTTAGTCGACGCCAGTATTACCCACCCTCTAATGAAGTTAATATGTCTATCTTAAATTTAAAAATCTTAATTACAAATATCAAGATTGTTCTAAATTCGTATTTTTTAAAATTCAGAATGTAACTTTAGACAGCGCCGCCCATCAGTATAAAATAATAACATACATGTATATATTGAATAAAATATTAAAACAACATTATAGAGTAATAAAGACGCTCAAGAAGTATAAAATGGGGGAGGGGTGAACACTGATGCCCCTGATCACGTGTTTCTCAGTCCCACAGTTCCAGATTATTAATAATATATGACATTTTATAAATCACGTACTGAGTATATCGTACCAGGAGGATAGCACAGTCATTTACGACTTAGTCTTACTCGATACATTCAAAATCACATGAAATTGTCTCTAAATAATTAAAGATGTGTCTCTTAGAACCCATTATTCCGTTAGCCTGAAGAGCAAAGATTAATATGAAAGACAGAGAGAGCATATATTTCATTTGATACAATTTGTGCTTTCGTTACTTCGCTTTACATGAAAACTGCAACTGTTCTGTCAGTGACAATAGAACGATTAATGAAGTGATGCTCTCACATGTTGGGTTGAAGAGCCGTTGATCCTTTCATTGGCAACACATATACTTGGTATTATTTGCTTTGTATAGATATTAATGTGAGTATACACGCAATCTGGTTCAATTTTAAAGTTTGGAAATAAATTAATTATCTACATACTAGTATTCTTTCCATAAAAAGAAATGGAGAAAATAAGAGAAATTATTAGAGTAAATATGCAAAAAAGATGGTCAGCTCTAAAAAATTTACTGCCTAACTTCCGTTAAATTCACTTACATCCATAAATGACTCAAAATAAGTTATTGTACTGTATAAGGAAAAACAAATTCAGCAGTCCTTACAGATTTGGACCTTGAGGCTAGAACAATAGGTTATCTTCTGACAAGCAGCAGTAACACGAAATGTTAAATAAATAAGCTTAAGGAATGATTTAATTGTTTCCATTAAGTACACTTCTTCGGAAAATGTCGTGATACCAGTTTCTGTTTATGTGGAAAATTGAATTTATATCCAAAAATAAAAGAAGCAGTTTTGACATTTATGATTGTCTTTATATTCCCCGGCCAAAAAGATATATCATGTCGATTAGCAATCGATTAATAAAGTATAATTACCACTGACAAGAGTGTTCTCCGATTCAGAATACTTGGGATTTTCAATGCTTTCAATTGTGATTTGTTGATAAAAAAAATCCTTATAAAATTATTGCATGGAAGATATATATGCATTTTAGCATTTCTATCGACATTCATGGGGAACGTAAATTAAATCTCCGGATTCGGTGTACTCTCGCAAACAATAATTGTTGCTTCACTTTTATATTATATGTATCAGAGCAGATATACATGGAATGCCAAATACCGGGGTATATGTTTATTACACTAAATGTACAGATGTACCTAGTAAATTACGTAAAATAATTGGAGTGGGTAAATCATAAAGTACTTTGTCAAAAATACCTAGGTTCTTTCACCTGTCTGTGCAGCGGAAACATTTTTAATTAATGATTTACACAGAGGTATCCAGGTGAGGGTTATAACCTCAGAGAGCCTGTTAATGTCTGAAAGGTTGGGCCTGCGTTATGTTACAATACAGAGTACAAGATTACTTTTACACATTACGGATATATCTGGAAAAAAGTCCAATGACACCATACTCATTTTAATATATATACATTCAAACGCGTTCACTTATCGTAAGCCAATCTCAATAGATGCTGAATTCCTGGCTCGTTCTATATGTATACAAATTCATGTCAGACACTGTTCATATAAACATGTGTCAGTGGGTCTGTCCGTGTAATATCACGTGGTTCTTATAAACCCACTTGACCTAATTTGTGTGGCACTCTTTTACCGCTTATTCCGTACAACTTTAATGTAATAGCTACAAAGTATCCGTACGCTATAGTACTATATATATAGTGCCAGCACAAATTCAGGTTTTATTGGAATGAACATTTATATTGGGGATGAACTTGTCTGTCAGATGCCTTTATACGCAAGGAACATAACTCACGATCGGACAGATTTAGACTAGAAACCCTTCTTCAACACTAGCGAAATTTGCTACCGTTTATCATGGCTACATGTGTATAAATCTTTGTAAAATATATCAAGTTGTACGAAGTAAATTTCATAAATTACAGCAACAGTTTTCAAGTAAAATGAGGTTGTGTCGGATTTTCTCGGCAATGGAATTTTTGCACTAATATACATGTAATTAATGATAACCAAACTTTGTTTGGCTTGATTTGTGTTGTCTGTCCGTCAGTCTGTATATGTCAAAATATCCGATAAACTGTTGTTTAGCTTCGAGCTTCACACACGGATAAATCAAGACGAGGTACTACTATAGGTTTTGACTTTGTCATTGTCATTTTAGCTCGATATTAGTAAAATGAAAACTGAATTTTTTTAACGGAAAACCTTTCTATACCTACTTGCTTTCAAATCTGTCCAGGTCAAGCTCATAAGAATAAATTTGTTAACTTTACAGATAATCAGTGCACGGTTATGGTTATAAATACAAGTTATGCCCATTGATCAAAGGTTTATCATTCAAAGTTTTCTATATAAAAAAAGGTTTGCATCGTTGAAGAGTCCCTAAGTGAGGAATAAATGCTTGTGCTGTGAGTTCGAATCCCAGGCGTGGTCTGGAGACCGATCTTTCAGACAATATTATAGCCCTTTCTCAGTAGAATCTGAAAAAATTACCCATACTGCCTTCAGGCAAGAAGCATCAAATATGCAGCACTTCCAATGAGTGAACCCTTTTCGAAGAGAAGCAAATACTAGTACATTACCAGTCTTACTCTGCGAATCACTATTGCGCTCATCACTGCATATTAAGGCAGGCAACCGAATATTCTTTTCTTATTGTGCTACCTACACAATAAGTTTTATACTCGCTTCCAGATGAAGTTCCACCTCTCTCACTACCATGACTACCCCGAAATGGATTCAGTAAACTTAACAGCTTCGCGTCGAAGCAGTTACTTTTTTCGATAAGATAATCGTCTGGACAGACTCATACATTAAATTCTTTGAATCTGAAA